AGTCTAGCATCAGCGTGAACAAGCCAAAGAATTATGGCTAGCACGACAGCACGGCTCAAAGCTACTCTAGAAAGTAACTTAAAACCTGTTCATATGGGCTGCATGATGCTTTTGTTCAAAGCAGCCATGCAACCTCGAGGTGGGGCACCACGCCATAGTCACCTGCGCGCGGGCTGAGACTTACAAACTGGACACTTTGGGGACCCAACAAGCCCCGCCTCCTCGGTCTGCGTTGCTCATCAGGCACTTGTTTAGAGGCGGTGGGGTTGGAAGTGGAAAAAAAAAAAAAGAATGGTCGATGGGGATCGTCAAAAGAAAAAAGAAGAGCCCGTGATCTTGGCCCTAGAAACAACATTTGGCCGTGATCAAATGTCCAAAACTGAAAAGTGTTTCCCCCCCCCCCCCCCCCACTTTGTCCAGGTCAGGTTGGAGGAGGGGAAACCCCAAATCACGCGACAGGGGCAAGTAGGAGGGAGAAGGAGTGTCAAGCTATCACAACTATTGCCAAATTCCAATAAACTCTCCAACTGCCATCTTTCAGCTGCCAAAAGCAGTTCTTTGGGAGGCCGTGCAGCCTTCTTTTTGTTCTTCTAATTCCGATGCAAAGGTGCCAATTGTTTATTTCACACCTCACATAAAAAAAAACATATCATGCATTACAACCACTTGCCCCAAATCAGGGCTTTCATAACAGGAAGGAAATTACGTTTTTCATGTGTCTGAAGTGTGAGCGCGTGACATGCGGGGACCATCCCTTGACTCGTGCCCGCATCGAGATCATCGTATTTTCTTGCAAGGTATTTTATTTTCCTGGTTTTTATTCGCTCCCCACCACCGGCAACCCTACTGCATAGTCTTACATTTGCAATCGGAAGTAATGGTCAAGACGAACGGATTTTTGTAAGTTGACAAAGACTGATCCCTGCAGAGTGTGTTGTGCATTGTTTCTTTAAAAAAGAGGCCGGCACAAGTAAGCGTTAAAAGTTTGGAGGGTTAAAGACGCAAAAAAAAAGAAAAGGTTTTAAACCAAATCTAACTCGTTTCTTTTTCAATCTTCTGTTCTTCTTCTGCAGAGTTAAACTTTCGGCATAAAATTTATTAAACGACAACCTTCTAGCTAGCAGCTCTTTAGCTAGCTACTCTTTAGCTAGTAACTCAAAGCCTACGATCGCGACAAGCATATCCCTTCAATCTAATCTCATCTCGGACAAAGGCTTTGCATCCATCTGTATACGATACCAACAGCAGAAGAAGTTTTATTATCTCGAATAGTTTTTTTTGCTTCTTTCAAGCATACATGTCACTTTCCTGCGTGGCCGCTTTCGCGTCTCCAGTCATGCCAGAATCGCATAGAAAACTGGACACCTCAAGTTTAGAAAAGTCGGGTACTACCAAATCCGAACTCGAACGTAAGTCGGGCATATCTATGCTGAATTTCTTTTTCGTAATGACTCAATTCATACTTTACAGTGGTTTCGACCAAAGGCATCCATCCCTCTCTGCTCTCCAGTCTCACTTGGCCGATTTTGATACCTCTCCGGGCTGCCTCGCTCGCGTATACTGCTGCATCTGAAGTGGTCTATGTATGCGATCTCGGTCGACACAACCTGTCAAATACCTGGACCGCCTTGAAAGCATATTATTGTGATCCTGGACATACCCGTCCTACGTGGAACTTGCCCTTCCATTTGGTAAGGGATTGTTCAGCCCAGTGCTGTGCGCACTCTGACGGAATCACTAATAATATCCCAAATTTGCAGCTCTTGAAAACAATAAAGTCAAATCTCGAATACCCAGGCCACACTCTAAATAAAATGCGAGGTTCGGCAGAATTTTTGTACGAAGTTACCATGCCGTGGAGTGTCCGAATTACACCGTTTCGATTCCACGTCAATCGTCAGATCCTTTTGGAACCAGAACGACAAGCTGCCCGCCACTCTTCGCTAGACTCGGACTTTGTAATCCCAGAAGAGTGCTCGGGTTCGGATGAATACGAATTGACCGGCGAGTGGGTGGAGTGGAAGGATAAGAATGAGAGTGCGAACAAATCCGCGAATAAAGAGGACAAGGTGATCTTGTTCCTGCATGGGGGCGCGTTCCTCTGCGGAAGTCCAAAAACACACAGAAGTTTGGTATGGCGTATTGCAAAGGAAACTGGTGCCAGAATCTTTGGTAAGTCGTTGAATGTTGATCTATTGATGCTTAAATTCCTTGCTAACTAACCGCAATGCTAGTTTTGAATTACCGACTTGCTCCCGAGCATCCATTCCCAGCCGCTATCCATGACGCCTTCGCGGCGTATCTTTACTTGACCAATCCAGGTCATCCTGCGTTCTTGAAGCCTGGTGCTTTCTTCTCACCCAACACACCTCTACACCAACCTGTCTCACCACAATCCATCGTGGTTATGGGTGACTCGGCAGGCGGGGGATTGTCTGCGGCGTTTCTGGTGTACATGAAGGATTTTCTGAAGGATAAAACTGGCGAAGCAATGTTTGAACCGGTCCGGGGTGGCGTGCTTCTTTCGGTAGGTTTGTGGAAGGCAGCTAGTCATCTCGTAATCTTCTTCTGATTCTAACTGCTTTTTGCCGTCGCAGCCTTGGGTTGAGTTAACATGCAGTACAGAATCATGGGACTCAAACTACTCTACCGATTACCTCCCTGGTCGCCCCAACACCGTCTTTCACAGCATGTTCCCCAGTGAATCCGAGTCTCCACTAAATCCCGTATACTCTTACCTCTTTGGCCTGGGTGATGCTGGACGCAAACGAACTTTCATCACCCGAAGAAAGCGTCAATGTGTATGCAAAGCAGAGTCGACCTGCGATTGTGGAGGGGATTTTAAACCGATTGATATGGCAAGGAGAGATTCAGGAATTGATGTAATCTTGGAGACTGAGGAAACGGAGGATTGCAACCGTCCTCGGAACGTCCTGAACGTGAAGAGACGGTTGGATGAGGAAGAAGTTGTCTTCAGATTGGCCAAGCATCCGCTTGCGTCTCCTATCTATGCAGACTGTAGTGGCATGCCACCAATCTTGATTGTGAGTATACTGCGTCTTTGCTCCTCATGGCAAAGCATTAACGGTCATTCGGGTATCATTAGCAAAGCGGAGATGCCGAGATGCTTCGAGACGAGTCAATGCTCCTTGCCCATCGCTTGGCTCTCGCCAACCCAGACCTGCACGAGCGGGGTTTCATGAGACTTGAGCTCTACCGGTAAGCATCAAACATCTGCCTCAACGCTTCATTTTCTCCAATGCGCAAACTAATTTATCGCATCATTGAACAGTGACATGCCACATGTCTTCCAAGCATTCACTTTCCTTCATAGCGCCCAAACTGCCCTTAAGAACATGTCCGTCTTTATATCCTCACTCTTCAACTCTTCCCAGTACGACACGGCACAAGGAAATCATGGCGTCGAGAGCGGAATAGTAGCCGTCGATTCATTCTTGTATCCTCCACCTTATTCACAGACTGCCACGGAGCCTACCATGGATGTAATGGAAGGTGTGGCGAGCATGAAGGCGAGCATGAAGGTGGTTGGTGCAGCCTTGGGCGGCGCGGTGGTCGAAGATGTACAAGATGCTGAGGGTGGGTGGCTGGTAGGAGATGGGATGTTGCATCCGTTCCTTTGAACGGCCTAGTGTGTCTGCCAGGATTTAACATTATAACTGTCTACTTTTAAAATGCATTGATATTATTTTAAATCTTTCGCTGCGTTTTTCGAATAACTATCTCTTGAGCCTGGCCTAACCCTATCTCAAATCCCTTTGCTATTACGTACCAAGAAATGTGATCCACTACCAGTAAGCTATCGGATATTGACAGCTGCTGTAAAGTCATGAAAAAGAAACTGTCTTTTTGGCTGCTTACTAGTATCATTATCCTGCCTTCGTGTGAATATTGACTAGTAAATTGCAGCATACATTGCCTGCTCAAGACAAGCCAGTTAACACAGTACTGCTTATCTTCCAGACTCTGTACGAATGACTCGAATCATCCAGTACATCCACATTCTGCCATCTTTATCTCCAGGTTCTTCCTGGCCTGATCAATTTCCTCAGGCGGTGTACGAACGACAAGTGATGGAATGCCGGCATACTTGGCAATATACGCGCTCGTTGAAGTGTGCATCAGGCTACGGGCCGCGCATTCAGTGTCCTTTAGAAACCAAGGTAAAATGCAGACGGTGACAGAAACGGACCTGGCAAGTGCCGCCCGTGGCCTAGCTCCTACAACAATAAGTGTAGCACACAGATTCCTTGCCTTCACAAAACGAGTCTCTCAGTCATCATGAGAAGAATAGCTGATTTTCACTAACTTTAAGAAAACTCACCAGTTTGACAATATGTGATTTCGCGTCCCCAATATCAACAGCAACGACCAACCCTCCGTTCATGTTCTTTCCTTTCTCTCTAGCCAAGCTCTCCACTACCCTTGTAATTCGCTCTTTGGCTTCGGACCGATCCCGCCAGGACAAATCATAAATTACTTCTTCCTCATATGTGACATTTTGAGATGTCGGATCAATTTGGATGACCGGTGGACTGTATTCGCCAACGAGCTGAGTATCTTCTGGTGGTGGTGCTGCGTTTTGGAGTGACTGCTCAGGCCATTGTTACGGGTCAAGTGAGATCTTAACAGAACCCACTTTCGGCTTTGTTGCGCGCGTTGAACACTGTTAGCTGGTCGTTGGGTTTGAGAAGGTTTGTTATTGTCCATTCCAAAGCGTAATAACTATGGGGCGTTTCATCGTAGCCAAGAAAGATATGTTCGGTAGGATAGTTTGAGGTGGGCGAGTGTTCTAGCATGGCTTTGCTGGCAAGTTGGTTGTCGCTTAGTGAGAGCGTGGGAAAATACTTGAAATTTTCCCACGCCCAGTTCTCCTTACGTGAACTGCTTTTAGCGCGTTCTCCGCTCTTCCCCCGTCGTGCTGCACTCTTGAACTCGTTTACAAAAGCCATGGACTTTGACTTCTCTACGCTTGAGTAGCCTGCATCCACTGCGTTCTGTCCTGCATTTAGGATCGGTACGGCGACTTTAAGCGCCAGCTCAGTTTCTTTTGCATTATTCGCATCGTTACCCTCTCTTTCGACTGCAGCACCACCGAAAACCCTTCTCGGCCCAGCTGCAACACTCTGCCGGTGGTGAGCACTCTTTCGTGTGCGTACCCGTTTTCGCCTCACTTGCATTTATCCAATATAAACAATCGCATCGGGATGCCTCTCCCGCTTTTGTTGCACGGCTGAACTGCTGCTGGCGTTCGTCCAAAGTGAACATATACCCAAGAAACATGGCAGAGCCGAAAACTAACTAACATAAACAAAAGTCACAACCTTTGTCGCGCTTGTTTTTTCCCTTGATAGCATCGCAGGCGTTATTCCTTCCTTCTTTCACTTTTTTCCATTGTCCAGGGAATGAGAGCGCCCTAGGGTTCCCCACCCGCTTGACCAAATCTTCCATCCACCAATCATTTCATTGAACTGGCCCGCCCTGCTCGTATCACCGCTCGCTTTCTAAAGACATATAAATAGCACAGTTGCGTGACAGCACCAAAGCAAGGGTTATGAATATGCCCTATTCAAAAACAGATATTGCTGCGGATCTTTTCCCGCTTGACAACGCCAGGGCTCACAGACGCAAAGCACGCCACTGTACAGTTCAAGAAGATTGGTCGAGAATCGCTCAACGTTTTGAGGGATATTCGGTCATCATGCGCCTATTATTCAGGATGCAGGCTCTGTTATTGAAAGCATATGCATTATTTCCCCGACACATAAATGAGCTCCGTTCTTCCATTTCCCCCCGAACCAACAATCTTTTCAGAAAAAGCAGTCACCACTTACCCAAAGCCAAATCACCTTTGAAAAGAATGTCCCAGCACGACATTGATCCAGCAATCATTGCAGCCTACTTGGATAGTCTCAAAGATCCAAAAACCAGAGCAGGCTACGAGAAACTTCTCAACGATCCAAAGGTTTCGGTAAACCTATGGGAAGGACAACTTGTCTTTGGCTCATACACATACGAAAGACCACCCAAACGGAAGCCGGATCCCAGCTGGGACGATGACAATGAGAACTTGTCTGACGCAAGCGCAGGATCCTCCTCCTCCTCCAAAGGAAGCTCCTCGTCAAAGCATTGGCAGGATATCATCAAAAAGCCCGCACTGAGTTCCACCGATCGCATGCGTATTCGAAAGAAACTGCGATTCCACGCTGGTGCCGTCGAAGACGATGAGATGTGGAACCATTTTCATGATGACGGGTGTGGTATAACCCAAATAACTGATTTCATATACGTATCTGGGTAAGCAGATCAAAAGCGCTGAACAGTTTTAAACACCATGGTACATGGGTTCTTTGCTTACCATGGTTCATTCCAATAGACTGCAGCCAGTTGATCACTGTCGTTGCACCATTGATGCCCTCGGAATCATCCATTGCATCTCTATTGGCAACGATAAGGGCAAAGAGCAGCTCCCGGGCATCGACACTCTGCTCGTTGACGTAGGCGATTCAGCAAAAGAAGATATTATCACGTACTTTGACGCCTGTTTTGAACATATTGAAAAGGCACGGAAAGCAAAGGGGAAAATCCTTGTTTGTGACCTCTTTGGTAGAAGCCCTGCACCCGTTGTCATTTGCGCATACCTGATGAAGAAAACCAAATGCTCTCCCCGGAAGGCGTTTTACTACGTATTTCAGAAAAAAAAGGATTTCAAGTAAGCATATTTGTAACAACTGCTCCAGAGATATTTATCAAGCTTACCTTTGTCAACAATGCAGACCCAATCCCGCCTTCTGGGAGCAGTTGTGCCTGTACTCAATCATGAACCACTCCATCACCACAGCCACAGGCGAAAAGAAATCAATCTACCGTCGGTATCATTCGGCCCGCAAGCTAATCTGGGTGCATCTTAAGGATAAATGGTACCTGCAAGGATCACGGAGGAGGTTTCCGAACCTCAGTGACGACTGGCTTTTGAACCTCCGGTATCCAAAAGGGCATACTTGGAATTACCGACATTACGTATTCCAAGAGCTTGAGGCAGACGATTTCGGCAAACTCGACAATCCACTTGACGCCCATTATGCTTGCAAGGATTGTTCGACCCCTCTCTTTGCTGAAAATAATCTGATGCCTTCATTCCATTTATATGAGCACCTACCGTTATATACCACAGCCCCATTGCTGGGTCGCCGAGGTCAACACCTTCTCGGCATATGTGCAGCACCAGACGCACAACCAGACAGCGGCCCGTACTTTATTGAACCGATGGACTGGATAGTGGTGCAAGTCCAGGACCGAAAAGCCCATCGCGGCGATATCCGCTGTCCGGGATGTAAGGTCAAACTAGGATCCTGGAACGCACATGAGGTGCTTGAGAATGGGGATGTGATGCTGGGAGCTTTCAAGGTGGAGAGGGACAAGGTTGTTTTGGGTGGGGATTAAGTCGGGGGGATAAGCCGAAGGAATATGGTGCTGACACTGAATAGTCAGCATTCGTAGTTGCCTAGGCTGTTTCCAGTAACATAATATATTATGGCATTCCTTTATTCAAAAGATATCATTTACTTATCAGAGCTCTACCTTCAACCATTTTAAGGCTGTACAATAGATGGAAGCCGCCGTAAACAGTTGATACACGTTTTCCCCGCTACAATTTTTTTTTACTCGCCAAACAGCTTATTGTGCACAGCGAGATATGGTTAACCATTGAGCAAACCGCCGCCCTGTTCACTACCATCTTGCAAGTTAGGCGAGATGCCGATATGGCTTCCTAACCTGTTCCGTAGCCGTATTCCACGGCGTTATAAAACCCAACTCGCAAAATGTTTCCAACTGCACACTATGCAACTCCTTATCGTCGTCTTGAACATATCACTGTTCATCGACACGTTCCTAGAGAAAACAACACTAACCTCAAATATTATCTAGTCACTCACACGCTTACTGCGTATTTGATAAGTTCAATTTAGCGAGAGGGAGGTATCCGCTCTGCAAACAAGTTTCCCTCCTCATCGCAGTTTACAAGTTCCGTAAGTCGTTTACATGTAAGTTTCTCCCTACTCGCAGCAATTGTTATTTTGTTGTTTGTGCATTGGAACGTTAGGCGTACAGTTTCTTGTCGGGTGGGTGTTCCAACGCGCTTGCGCTCGCGCGTTTAAAAGCTGCGCGACAACCCGATCTTGCATGCTGTTGTGCGTCGTAGCAGACGACACTCGGCAATAAAAACGTATAGACAAGCAACACACGAGATTCGCTAGTAAGAACACTTTATAAAAGCGTTTAGATCCGCCAATGAATCAAGGGGGAAATGCTCAATCAACCCCTTGGATCATCTGATTTAACACCTCAATTGGCTTCGGTTTTACTTGGTAACTGTTGCCTTGTTCCAGTAAACGTTTCCTTTGGTTTTCGGTATCTGTATGCATTCACATGCAATGCAATATGTTTAGTGCCTGGATACCAGCCATTATATTGGTAATCGACAGAATTCCTGTTTTACAAAGAGAATGTTGGGATACAGTTCCAAGATCCGCAGCCTATGAACCCTTCTTATTTGAAGGCATTTTGGATGCCAGGGTGATCAAAAAATCATATCCCCCCAAAAAAATAATAACAAAAAAAAATATTGATATATTGAAACAATGCCGACATTTTCTAAACACGATCATACAATATCCATCATATTGCAGTAAGCAAGCTACACTAGTCACTTCAAAAGCCAACCATACGAGTCTTCCCCAAAACTTTATTCACCAGTCAAAATGCCCACCGCGTCATCAATATTTCCACGACACTCAACCAAAACCTCTGCACTGACCAACAAATCATCAAACCCCATATTGCGCATCTGGCGAAGGTGGGTCAACAAATTTTCGGCTGTGTACGTGGTTGGCTGGTTTTGAGGATTGTTTCTTTCCACGATCGGTGTGCTGATAATCGGTTCGGTCGGCGCGAAAGGTCCTGGCAGAGTGGGAGGGCGCGGAGGTGGAGGTGAAGGCCTGGGCATACTCGGGGGATGAAATCTGGGGGGATTCGGAGGCCTGGGGAGGGGCATCGTCGCATAGGAATGATGATGAACGGGAGGGTGAGGTGGCGGTGGAGGAGGTGGAGGAGGAAAATAGGAAAAGTTCCAGTAATGCTGGGGTTGCGACGGAAGTGACATTCGATGACGAAGTTGAGAATGGCGACGTCGTGTTCCGGCCGCATATGCCCCGGAGGTTTGCATTGTTGACCGACGATGCAGACCGAACGGGTGTTCAGGGTGTCGAGGTCCTTGTGGATGTTCACGCACAGGAGGACAGGGCGCTTCAGCAACCTGCACCGACTGCTGGCGATCTGCAGACGGTACATCAACTCCGTTAGAAACAACGGGTAACGCAGACAGAGGTTTCTCTTCCGTCTGATCAACATCGGCCAAGCGAGCACGCCGAGTACTCGTCATGGCCGTATCACACCCGAATCTGATCTCTGCATTCGAGGTTGCTGGTGCAGGATTGACTCGTATTTGCTCGGTTTCATTTTCCTCTGGTCGGCCAGTATTCGCGGAGCCATTAGCGGTCGACGCCTCCCTCAAGTATGTACTCAACCATGAAGGCGAACTTTCCAAAGCTTGCATATTGGAACGTACAGTATTCGCAGAGCCATCAAAGGGCGACGACGCCCTCCAGTATGTACTCGAAGATGAAGCGGAACTTTGCAAAGATTGGCAACTGGCACGTAGCTCCATAGGATTTTCTCCCAGTCGAACACACTTTGCAAACGCTTTGAGATTGGCCGGAGACAAATCAAAGGGACGCTCTAGGATGGGTGGTGGTGGTGATACGGTATCTTGCTTTGAAGAATCCGAGTCCCAAGAGTCCACATTTGACATAAGAACTTCGCTAGGCGGAGGCGACAAGCACTTGACCTGTTCTGTGGTCGCATCCGCCACAGAATAGGCCTCCACATCGATATCAATAAGGGAATGTCCTACTTCCGGAATACTGGCTTGAGGATGATCATCAACATCCACATTTGATTTCACATGGGCTTTCTCGATAGCGGACGTATCTTCCTCGGTACAAACGGTCTTGTCGACGCAATCTTCATTGGTCCCGCCAACGCCAGCTTCATTGGCATAAAGGGTTTCGTCAACATCAAGGTCCTCTTTCAGATCAAATTCCCATTCAGTATACCGATCCTCCAAACCAGCCAATGGAACTGCAGGTTTTTTGCCTTTATCTTTTTTTGCTCCAGAAGACTCAATACCAGTCTCACCCACATACCGACCAGTCTCATCCAGATCCCGAGCATACCGCTCCTCCAACTCAGCCCATACAGCGGATTCATTAACAGGTTCTTTGCCTTTATCTTCCCTTGCCACAACCCAAAGCTTTACTAAATGCCCCTTTGCAGATATATCCAATATTTCATCATCCCGGTCAACAAGGACCTCGTCCCCGTCTTCATCTTTCCAAAAGACCTTGATACCCAGTGACGGCGAAATGGAAAAGAGTGTGCGAATCCTATCTTCCAGTGCAGACCAGCTTGGTGGCGCGGCAAACGTAAAGCGTCGCAGAGTATCCTCGTAAGAGACCTTGAAGGAAAGCATAATGCCTCTTGCTTGCTGGGTGCAGCAATGATATCCAGCGACGAATACACAAGAAAGCTTTGTTAAAAGTTTGGGTTAACTTTCTTGGCGAAAAGTGAAACTGCGGAAGGACCAAGTGCCAAGCAGGCAGGTGATGCGCAAGTGGCCAAGTCATCTTGAATTGACATGAGGCTTTTGCGGCTTGCGGGGCTTACGCGAGATCAAGCAAGACATGCAAACGGCGTCATACCACGACCACTATAGGAAAACGTGTTGTTGCAACCCGCCAACACTCCCTTGTATAATAACTTTTGGGAACGGCATTTACGGGATGAATCAGGCAGAGACATGAAGAAGCCCATATTACTTGAAAATTGCAAAACATCATCCCAAATCATATTCTACATGAAAAATTCCATCAATATACAAAGCACTGAGGGGTATACAAAGTTTTTCAGCAATCCTCATTCATACACCATCCCATCAGTGACGACCCTCAGTCGCGGATTTCTGGTCATAGTAGGCGCCCCTAGCAGCGTCACCAGCAGCCTTGGCTCCTTCCTTTGTGGCACCCTGCATAGACAAGATGCTGCATAAGTGAACTGTTCACATGTTGACTGCCCGAATCTGGTACGTACGTGTTGGGTGAAAGCATGCTGACCTTCAGCTCCTTCTTTGCGGGCCTCGCCATAAGCCTTTTCGGCTATACAGAAATGTTCAGTTTGCGGGACACGACCAATCTCTCCAAAAACAACCATAAGCGTACCTTTGCCTTCGTCAACACGGCCCTTGTTGCCGGATAGGTGGCCAGCAGCTTTCTGTAAAGATCAAGTTTGAAAAATGTCAATGATCGGAATATGTTTGTTAATATACGAGGACAATGCCTTGCGAAACGAACCTCAGCTTGTCCCTTGATTTCCTGTCCGATTCCCGACATCATTTAGAATTCGATATAGGTTACGATTTATTTTGCTGTAGTGGTCGTGCGTATTTGAGTATCGAGGTAAGGAAACTAATAGGGGGAGAAAAAGGACTCCAGGCTATTTATGTTGACGGGAGGAAATGAAGCAATGGATGCCAAGAGGCCAAAAACAGAATGTTCGTCGTCATCTGTTCCATGCGGCGCAATGAAGGGTCAAAGGAATGTTTGTCGTCATGGAAGGAAAGTGGGATGGAGTTTTCCCCCGCGCACGGGGGGACAGCAAGCCCCCATCCAAACCGCCCCCAATATCCGAATCAGTTCATGACGATAATTATGGAGGGGGTTTCTGGAAAGTCTCTTGATTTCCTCCCTTTATTACGCAACGATGATCACCTCCAATGTCCAATGATCTCATCATCATCAGAAATATCGCCATAAATGTTGCTAAAGACAGGAACGCCAAGTAGCCCCAAAGAAGGAGGGAAGGTGGAGGGGCATGAACACGATCTAATGGCACAGTCATGATGGACAATGGGCAAACCCTCCTGCAACTACAAGTTGACATTTTACAAAGCGCAAAGTCCGAGAAACAGAAAATATTAGGTAAAAAACCACATAGATGAGATGCTGTAACGTTTCGTCTATAAGTTTGTTTTTTTTATTTTAGTATAGATGGGAAGCAATATACATATACAATTTCATTGGAAAAACTCAAAGCAAAAACATCTCCAAACAGATATACAAAAAAAAGTCTACAGGTTTTTTTTTTTTTTTTTTTTCTCTTTTACCAAATCATTCCTTCCATGTTATCCTCAGTAGAACGCAACCCCTTTTGTCTCTCCCGTCGGTTCCATCCCAAGCACCTCTCTAGGCCCTTGAACCAGTCTTTGCTCTGGTCTTCCCAGCAAACTGTGGGAACAGGCCAAACAGCCGCTCGGACCACAACGCCATCACCACGTTCCAGGCACACTCTATGACGTCCATCAAAGCTAGCCCAAGCTGTTGTTCGACTGTCTTCAGGAACCATGATACAAACTTCCATTGTATCAGGGAGTATCATTGGGCGGAAGGAAAGGGTATGGGGGCAGATGGGTGTTACGAGGATGGCCGAGACGTCGGGGTGGACGAGTGATCCCCCAGCGGAAAGGGAATAAGCGGTGGATCCGGTTGGTGTAGAAATGGTCAAACCGTCAGCATGAATGGTGGTGAGATGGTGTTCGTTACCGTACAGTTCGAGTTGAGACATGTAGGGTGATGGCCCACGGTCAATGGTAAGATCATTGAGGATTTGAAAGGTCTGGTTATGATCGTCGGCCACGTTCGGGTCCAGTGACTGAGCGTCAGAACCTTGTTGTCGTCGGTGACGGATAACAGTGCAGCTAAATCGCATCCGAAAGTTCATTCGCATCCCTCTTTCCATACCAGTCCCAACAGCGAGGTCCTGAACGCAATTTCGAAATCCGGTAAAATCAAACGTTGTCAGGAATCCGAGGCTTCCGAGTCGGAAAGGCAAAATAGGCGGGCACTTTTTCTGAAACATCCAAGCTGCGTACAGGACAGTTCCGTCACCGCCAAGGGTAATGACAAAGTCCACGCACGAGGCGGATTTGGAGGAACAAAACTCTGGAGTCCAAAATTGAAGTTTTTCAGAAGGATTCTCGTCGCTGTTTTGCGAGGATGGTTTGGGAGATGCAGAGCGGAGGTGGTCCATCAAATCATTATATTGGAACGCATCATCCTCTTCCAGTTTAGATTCGACGAGGCTGTAGACAAAGGAATTGCTCATGAGCGAGCAGGCCTCCAAGGCGAAAGAGCAATTCTATAACTACTTACACAGTCATTCCAAGATCCAAGATTAACCATTTTGTCACCTCCTTTGTGATCTTGACCAATTCTTGGTCGTGAACCTTGGTCACAATCAATACTGTTTTAGGTGTGGTGTCCCAAATCAGCTGAGCCCGTCCAATTTTCTTTGCAATTTCACGCAGACCAACAGCTGTCTTTGCCAGCTCGCTGTGTGAGTTGCTTCGCGATCGTCGGATAGGAAAGTCCTTTCGTGTGCGGTGGGAAGGAGATGGAAAGGCGCGGTCGTCTCCTTCCGCGCTCCAAGTGTTTGGACTGTTGGTCGGAGATTGGTGTAGCGAGTTGCTGTCAGTTGATCCGGGAGACGGGTTAGGAGAGTTGGTGTCGATCGAGCTGAATTCCAGATTGTCGAGATTCTCTTCCTCAACAGACGCCAATCCACATCCAGCAGAATCTACCAATTCAAGTCGGTAAAAGAGAGCTTCAATCTTTGGCGTCAAAGGCGACGGTGTAGTCTCCAACAACGGTCGTTTGCTTGTAATGGGGGGAAATTCGCGAGGCGGAGGCGGGAGGTTGCCCGTTACAACCGAAAGACTTGGAGATCCAGGCATGTGCTTGGAACGCCCTGGGGTGCACGACGAAGGGGAACCGGTATCAAATGATTGTGTGCATGAATCTATTTGCAGTATTGGTGGATGAATGGCGGCAATCGGAGGCATGTCCTCTATTTCACTTGCAGAGTGGAGAAAGGTATGAAGAGTTTGGCAGGCCGAGGAAGGGGCAAAAGAGAAAGGAGCAAGAAAGGAGGGGGAAACGGGAAACTATACAAGAGAAGTGGGAAGAGACAAGGGGGGATAGCTCTATATAGTCTTTCTAATTATCTAGTATGATACATCGACGCTACAGCTGTTTGATGATCCGGATATGTTCAAAAGCAAAAGCGCAACCAAAAGAGTATGCAAAGGACTGCAAAAGACGGCTTGTCCAAAAATCAAACGTCTTTATAAACTAACGTGCAAACCCCCCAATGTGAATCGTCGCTAGTTTCCTTCTGGTGGGGAATCCGCCGTACACAAGTTCCTTTATAAAACATACAAGGAAAACTCCAACGCAAGTCCCAAAAAGCCCAGGCCAAAAGATGAACAAGAAGCCAAATGGAAACTCGCCCCAATTTAAGTTGAAGAAGTTCCGCGGGGAGAATCCACGTGACATGGAAAGTCGTTGCAAAGATGAAACAAGGGGCAAACTGCCTTTTTAGGCAATGTGTCGCTGCAAAGGAGACACGTTTTGTGCCGTCGGCCGCATGAGCAGGGGTTTCCCCTTATTTAATTTCCAATGTTTCACCCTGTTACCATCCGCCGGCCATAAGGGGCTGCTAGCGTAAGAACACTTTTGGATTTCACACTTGCTGGATATACGATTTTGTTAAAATGGTTTCCAACTGGCAAGTTTCATGGCAAGTAGACCGCATTTTGAAATTACAATGACCGCCAAGGTTCCTGTGCACGTTGCGATATAAACTCCAACTTGGGCAATATTCCTTAAAGGAACTCACATGGGCAACACATATTGAACGCAAAATGAGTAGGTTTGGGGAGGGAAATACCGCACAAGGGCACTTTAATAAGGGAATAATGTCACAAATCATTGATTGCAAAAAGGACCCATCTCACCCAGTCAAACATTTTACACAATGTGTCCAATCTCAGCACGCTACTGACCGTTACTGACCGTTCTGGAATGAACTGTGATATTCACGTTAGAGTTTAGATTTGGCACATGCTTAAAAGTGCTACATGATCGTCCTTTTTGCAATATCGCACAGTATTTATGAATGTTTTTTTGCGAACCATTGATGAACGTGTCCAGTCGTGTTCAAAATCCCTCGTATTACAATACTATCTGCTTGAGACGAGATGTCTTTTGTAAAAGAGATCCAACTAGTAGAATAGACATAACCTACGTACAATTGAGCGTCATGTAAAAAGTGGGAGGGGGAACTTGCGATAGTTGACTTGGGACTTCTAAGTGGCTGAGCACGGCGATCCCGCCGGAACAAAACCATCTTGTGTGCTGAGCTGTCCGAGACTCAAAATTCAATATTTCGCAGTTTAAGCGATATGTAAGCTCGTGCTTGAGTAGACAAAGTGCAGTGCATGTCGGATCATTTGCATTCCTTATTGCACAATAAAAAAGAAGGGAACACTAATGTATCATCATGTCGATCCTAGCAAACATACCAGTTATCGGTCCCCTCTTCTCTTCAGATAAGGATCAGTTATTAAAAGACTATGATTACATTGTCGTTGGTGGTGGTTCGGCTGGGTGTGTGGTAGCTGCACGGTTATCAGAGGACAAGAATATCAATGTGCTCTTACTCGAAGCCGGTGGGGATGGAAATACATTTGCCATACGAACGCCCGGGGTGTATTTTGATCTGCAAATGACCGAGGTGGACTGGCAGATAAGGACACGGCCGCAGAAAGGAATGGGTGGGCGAATTGGATTCTGGTATGTCTTATAGAGGTCATTAGCGCAATCGTGCGGATGTTACTCATTTTCTGGTTATTGTGTATGTGAAAGGCCCCGCGGTAAAGTTCTCGGTGGCTGTTCGTCCATCAACGCCATGCTCTATGTCAGAGGTGATCGAGCAGATTATGACGGATGGGCAGCAGTCGGGTGCGACGGATGGGCGTATGAAGATGTGTTGCCCTACTTTAAAAAATCTGAAGATTGTCGCATCCCCAGTCTCTCCCAACGTGAATATCACGGCACGGATGGCCCACTGAACATTGAATACGCTAGTGGAGGAGATCCGAACCCGTTAACAAAAGAGTTCATCTCTGCATTCCGGCAAGTGACAGGAATCACAAACGATGACTACAACTCGGGAGACGGCTACGGAGCATCTATTAGCTTTCAGACAGTGCAGAATGGCGTGCGATGCGACACGGCTCGAGCCTTCCTGTTCAATGGAGAGAAACCAGCTATTCGCCGGCCCAATTTGACAGTCATCACCGGTGCACACGTCACAAGGATTGGGGTGGAGAACGGCAAGACTACTGGAGTATATTTCAGATCCTCTCCACATGGAACATCGAAAGAAGCATTCATGACCCTTCCAGAGACATTCATTCCCGTCAGAGAGCAAGTCATTTTGAGCGCTGGCGCAGTTCACACTCCTGCCATTCTGATGTACTCTGGCATCGGTCCTCAAGATCACCTCAAGAGCGTGGGAATCAAGGTGATAAAGCATCTCCCAGGTGTGGGCCGCAACCTCCAAGATCACCTCTTTGTCGGGCTCGCATTCAAGGAATACCAGGGCGTGGCATACACAAGCAGGTTGCTCGACGTGGCGCGATACCTTGGGAAATACTTTCTGCATAGCACCGGCCCTGTCGCTGGTTCTCCCGTTGAGGCATTAGCGTTTATGGATTCTGCTGTAAACACCTCTGCCCAGAATGGAAGAAAGCGCCCAGACCTACAATTCCACATTCTCCCAGCTCGCGTCACCAAACAAGCCCACTATGCTAAAACCAATGTCAATCCTATACAGCCAGAGTTATCTCACGATCACGGTCTGACAGTGTTTCCCACGCTTCTCCTTCCGGAATCCTCTGGATACATTGAATTGAGCAGCAGTCATCCCCTTGACGATATCCACGTTGAGCCAAATTACCTTTCAGCAGAATACGACATCCAAGTGCTGATGGACGGAATATTCAAATGTCGCGAAATTGCAAAGTCCCAAGCGCTCGAACAGTATAAACTGGAAGAAATTATTGACACCACCATCCCATTTCCACCAGACTCACCCGAGTACGTTCGTGAATACGTGAAAAGGCAGGCCATAACAGTCTATCACCCGGTTGGCACTGCTAAAATGGGACGAGCTGACGATCCAATGGCGGTGGTTGATTCCAGGTGTAGAGTCTTTGGTATTGAAGGGTTGAGAGTGGCGGATGCGAGTGTTATGCCACGGATCGTAGCGGCTAATACGAATGCCGCCTGTATTATGATTGGGGAGAAGGTTGCGGACATGATAAAGAAGGATCGGCAGAAAAGTTGATAGAGTAGGCATATATGATTCTAGAATACATGGGTTGGACTACCGAGGGTTTACGGCCATGCATAAACACATGTCAAGTGAGACCGACCACACACAAAAGACCAAATTCGTCCCAATGTCGTGTCAAACAGGAAGTTTACTCACACAGCACGCAGTACAAGGATTCTTTTTTCACAGGCGTGCCGTCTTGTCAGAATAGGGGACGACCACGAACCCCAATCTGGGAAAGTGAACATCCGTCTCAAAGCCCAATTCTTGATTTTCGACTCTCACCACGACCTCTGCTTGATCCAACTTGACCAACTTTCCAACAACCGGTACCCTTCCCGTGTCATCAGGGGTGACCACCACCAACCCGCCAATCTGCCGGCCCACTTCATCCGGCTCACTCTTTCCAATAGCATCCACCCCCTTCCGTACCCTCCGGGCAACGTCCAACGCTTCTTCAGCCGTGATGGGTTTCCCCAATGACGAAGGACGCCCAATGAGGCCATAAAGCCTCTGATACCATTCCAAAACCTTTTTCACATCTCCATACGAACCATCCTCAAGCCGCTTTCGTTCGTCAGGAAAGGTCCGCAAAAACCACACACACATGACGGCATGAATATCCGCAGTCGTCGGACGGGGTGTATCCAAAATGAATGAACGTCCATCAGAGAGCTGAGCGTTAATGGTTGACAGCGAGATACGAACTTGGTCCCGAGCAATCGGACGATTTTCTTTTGCTTTTTCCACCGAGATTTGTGAACGGTTCGAGAATTTCGCGCGGTCGGACAGAAAGACTGGTGGGAGGCTTTCGTAGGGTAGGAGAGCAACAGCGTTCTAAAAAAGAAAAAGAATATTCCAATAAGTCAACACAGAGTCATGTTCACATCTTTTACCTCATACATACCGGAAAAAAGTGTTTATCACACCACATCCGATACGCAAACTCCAAAGCACCATCGACATTCCCCTTTTGATCTTTGGGCAAAAGACTAGGTTCCGGAAACCGTCTCTCCAATTCCTCCAAAATCAATGCCGTATCGCAGTATATATCCGCTCCTGAATTTCAAAGCAGAGTCAATATAACTTTAGTCTTGACGAAAACTTGCCACCCTTTTGTGAATTTCTCTTTATACTGACCTATTTGCAGAATGGGAATCTTTCGATACCCTCCTGCCAACGGTATCGTCGCCTTTCGCGGCTGTAGCAACAAAAAGCCCTAGATGAGTCTTTGAGACATACTCTTATCAACAACAACAAGTACACACCGGGTACGGCGGAACAATCAACGACCGGAATGGAATACCCTTCAATGCCAACGCCAAGATAATCTTTTGAGCATAGGGCGATGCATGGTAATGGTGCTGTTTTCTAAAAGTCAGATCCCTGCAAATAAAAGGCCAAAAACCCTAAAAGTTCCTTACTAGAATGACTTCTTCTGACATGGTTTCTTGATTGGGCTTTGGTCCCTTTTGATGATGGGTATGGGTTATTTTTACAAAGTTACGTTGGAGTGTGCGTTGCAGTATTTAAAATGAAAGCAAATGCGAGATGGATAATTCAAACGTCCGCACCCGGAGATCACGACCCTCGTACAAAAAGCGCATGCTTTTAACATTTGTTAATTAACTAATGCTTACTTACTTAATCCCAAATCTATTCATATGCATCTCTGAATGTGTGGAATAAATCGACTGGTCCATGCCTTTCATTCCTGTTCATGTAGGGCCAAAAAAAAGTTTGGACAAGAGAGTCACACTACCAAATGCTGACCTTTCATCAGAGTAGCAACAAACTGTGTCGACTCCCTCAACTCTAAATATTACAACCACATTCCCTTTCCGGTGCTGCAACCACAAAATAAAAAATGAATGTATTATTTCCCAGCTCACAAAGCAACTCTTGCAATAATCATATCTTGTCTGTATTCTACACAAAAAATCCCATTATATACACACAATTTAAAAAATTTTCTCAGTTAAATACGATAAAAAAAATGCGTTCATATCACATCCTGCAATCTCTGTAAAATCCTTGTCAAATGCTCTTGATCACGCAGTTTGATTTGGACAGTCATAACGGGTTCATCTCCTCCAGACCCTGCAGATGGTCGAATGATTTGGACGGATAGAGCTTGCGGTATGGGCATGGAAGGCTGCGATGACACAGGTGACATGGCCTGTTCCGGTGGTGT